GGCTCTTGGAGTCACTATTCTGAGTGAAAGAAACTGGGCAAAAAAGACTGCCTGCTGTGTGGTTCGTTTGTGTAAAATTCTAGAAAGTGCAAACTAATCCCTAGTGACAGAAAGGAGATCAGAGGTCATCTGTGTGTGTGTTGGGGGGGTGGGGAGGGGCTACGGGGCACAAGGAAATGTTGGGGGTTCTGACTATGCTCACTCTCTTGATTGTGGCAATGGTTTCTGGAGAGGTTACACAGGTCAAAACTTACCAGATTATACACGTAAAGATGTTTATTATTATGACATCGGTAATACGTCAGGGAAGTTTTTAAAAATATGGGCTGAGGAAATATGGGTTGGCAATTCTCACTGCTTCTTGGAGAAACGAGTCACATTTCTGCTAGAGCCCCTACTTTTCCTGGGGAACTGTTTTGTGTGAAGAATTGTTGACACCCAGAAAGAGATAATGGATATTCCAGGGCAAACAATGCATGAGATTGTGAGTTTAGGAACAAGGAATGAAGAACTACAGCTCTTTCATAGTGACAGTGATATTACAAATAGTCAACAAATTGAGCATTTCTTATCCACCAGGCTCATCATTTTACAAACATTCTGTTATTTAATGCTCACACAGCCTTATTTGTAGACGTTACTGGACCCATTTTACAGAACAGGAAACTAAGTCAGGGAAATGAAAAGTAACTTCCCAAGGAGTGGCAGGCAGATCCAGGATTGGACATGGTCTGTAGCACTGAACTCTCAGATTTTAAACTGTGGCCATCTCTGGCTGGTATGATTACAACTGATTTTGGATTGCATTTTTAAAATCTTCACATAGCCTAAGCTTTCTACAATGAACATGTACTATTATTAACCAGGAGTACTTTTATTATGTTAAAATTATTATAACCACTCTAATTTTTTATTACAGTTGACATTCAAGATTATTTCATCTTAGTTTCAGGTGCAGCTTGGCGGTTAGACAATCCTATAGAGTGATCCTCGATATTTAAAGTACCCACCTCACACCATCCTTAGTTATTACAATATTACAGACTCTATCCCGTCTGCTGTACTTTACCTCCACTGAGCATTTATGAACCACCAACTTGTATTCCTTAATCCCTTCACCTTTTGCACCCAGCCCTCCAACCCCCCTCCTCTCTGGCAACCCTGTTTGTTTTAGGTCTCCATGAGTCTGTTTCAGTTCTGTTTGTTCGTTTCTTTTAGTCTGTAGATTCCGCGGACAAGTGAAATCACATGGTCATTGCCTTTGTCTGACCTGCAGCGAGCTCACCAGGAGTTCTCAAAGCCAGAGCCCCACGAACCCTGGACCGATATTTCCTGCGGCTGCCCCTCCTCCAGCCCCTCCCGGGCCGCTGCCCCCTGC